AACCCATTCACTTTCCCTCACGTGAGGCTATACTTTTCAATGGAAAACCACAAAAGCTGCTACACTGTTGTTGATTTATTTATTTATGCCTTTAACATGAGCTACTGTCTTGTGGAGCTGTCCAGTGCTGAAACGTGACCGACAGCCTCTGTTCGAGAAAATGTTTCTAAAACACCAAAGAGATGCCTCTGAGGCAGGTGGCTCTATTTATCAGTATATGGTTAGATGTTTTCCCACATGTTCCTTTTTACATCCACCTTTCTGGAGATCGGTCTCAGTTACAGAAGAGACACTTAAATCATTTACAGAGTTTGAACCTGGGTCACGGGGTTGAGGGGCATTTTCCTAAATGCTGAATAACAACTACAATTTAAACCATCAAGGAATAACTTGGTGAAAAAACTCAGATACTTTACTTTAAAAGTGTAATGCAACAATTTGAAAATGCTTCATTAAAGTATTTCTTCTGCAGATAAATGGCCCCTATCAGTGATATACAGTATTATTATATAGTTAATCCTAATGCAACAATGTGAAAGAAGCATTTTACAGTTATACGTGCTTCAGGTGGAACTCATTTTATTTACTTTATATACAATTAGTTTAGTCCAGTGGTTCTCAACCTAGGAGTCGAGACCCTCCAGAGGATCACAAGATAAACTGAAAGGTTGTGAGATGATTAATCACTGGAATGAAGACAAAACAATTCTGTTTCACAAATGTGTATTCAAAGCTTTAATATTTGCTTTTTGTGTGAAATACTGGAGACTTACATCTTCGGTCCTTATTTAATTTCTTTTTGGTGGAAGTGCTAACAACTCATTACCATCTTAAACATGACACAGTTCCCTTTGTGTAAGGGTTCACAAACTAAAAACATCAAGAACCACTGGTTAAATTTTTAACAATTTATTGTGTTATTAAGGCTTTTCATATGTTTCTACATTAAATCTTAATGTTACAATACCAGTGAGCACAACTATGAAATAAATGTCCAGTAGAATAAATATTTCCTTATTATTTACTTTGAAAAATGGCTGTGGATTTGAAGTATAAAATACCATAAAATGGAATTCCTAAAGTACAATAACTTTCAGTTTTTCTTAAATACTTTACATTCTCTGCTTGTATTGTAGAAATGTGTATCGAAAACTATAAGTAAACTTGGTTTTCTATTTTAATTTCACTCTCAAACCTGAGTTTAGGGCCTAGACAATATTCTTTAACAGTCAGCGGTGGCTTCCTTCCACACAGGTGTTGAATATTTAGCAGGTGAGTCAGATGGGTCAACACATTTCTGGCTCTGACGTCATGTGACAGTTTGCGTAGTGCAAAAACCACTTTACTCTGAATTTTTAAACTGTTGAGATTAAAGTCTCAGAGAAAATGTCTCCTCACACTGAATCCTTTTCTTGTTTCAAGGAAGTACTGCATCCAAGTGGCTGTGAGAAGAAATTGCAATGTTGTGTGTCTCGGAGCTTTTTATGTCACAGACCATCCGGAAGACAGGACACAATCTGTAAAAAGATAAGGCACATGGGAATATCAACAGATAAGTAACTAGCTGTAACTACACTCACCGTTTTAAATTGTCGATAGTAAAATGTAATTAAACTGCACCTTAGTTTGAGAACTAAAGGATTAGGCTACAGGACTTTAATCATTTAAAATGGGTCAACATCACTGAAATAAAGATTTCCTGTTAGCTGCCTTTTTAAAATTTGTACACTAAACAATGTTAGGTGGAAAATAATTATGGATCAAACAAGACAATCATAAAATAATCATGAGTGTCTTATGCTGAATGAATCAAAGTAATCACTGTAAAATGATGATTAGCCATTCAGCTTTGATCCTCGCTCAATACCATTAAAAATATTTACACACTCTAAATCTAATAACTGACTAGATAAGAACATTTACCCATGTAACCACCTGAGGAACCAGTGGAATATTAATAACCTGCTTCCCTGAGCCACTGTTTATAGAAGCAGTTTAATCTCCTGTTGAAAGTTGGTCAGAGTTCTTGTTTCTTTTCTGACCTCTCACAACAAACACTCATTACATTCCCAGTAACTGCTGGATTTTTTTTTTTTTAAATGAAGCTCATAAACAACCTGATAAAGGTAAAAGTAAAACTTTACTGGCTCATAACAGTATAACGCTGTAGTAAAAGCAAATGTTCCTGTTTGTTCAGATGGGAATGGGCAAACAGCCGTCCTTCATTTCATACAGTTTAGTACCTGTTCCCTGGAGTGTGAGCGATTGTATGACTGAGCTTTATCACCAAACAAGACAAGAAGAGAAGAAGAGTCACTCTAATTTTAGTGGTGTTATAGCTCTTATTAACAGCTACTGGTGTTGACACTTCATATTTAAAGGGTTTAATTGAAGTTATAGTCTCAAGTGTTTTAATACTCAGACTTTAGAGTGCTGACCGAACATGGCTTTTATTAGACTATAAAAGTCTGTACAGTATGTGTGTCAGGAAGGGCTGAGACACAGTAAATATTAATCACCACTGTAGAAGAACTGGATACATGTTTAAAACGGGGTTTATAATGAGTAAATACTGATGAGTAATAGTGTTAACATTAGTGCACTTTATTTACAAAGCATGGGGATGTTTAGGAAAAATACACTTTACTCTTTTTTGTAGCTTCTAAAAGTGTCAATATACACAACTGGGTCATGCAGCAACAAGCAAAAGAAACTTCATATTTTTATGAGAACAGGTAATGTTCTGCTAAAGAGACTGGTCAAATGGATGACTGAACCAAACCTTTCTGTACCTGGAATGCAGATGATTTAGTGACATATCATCAAATGTATGAAGTAAATGAGCATTAACATTCCTTAAATGATGGCCTGTTCAGTAGGAACTCATTAGTGAAGGCCATAGTCACCTGATCATTTGATAATGAAGATTAACAGGAGCTCACAAAGTTACTGTTAGAAGTTATTTTTCTTACTGCAGATCAGCTCCTGCTGCATCTGATGGAGCTCACATTCTCTTCTCCTGTCTTTGTAGTTCTGGTGAGACCCTGAACATTACAACCCAAGACTGGCCCAGGTCTTGTTGATGCTGGTGGCCACCCCCCAGTACTCTCCCTGCCAACTGCTCCTGAGCTGTTCCCACCTCCTCATCTGCCATGGCTACATGCAGTGACCCTGGCTGTGAGAGGCTGAACCCTAACTCTGACAAACAGACCAGCAGTCTCACAGACATCATGGCTGCCATGACGACGAAAGACTCAGACGGCTCAGCTGCAAACGGCGTGAGGAATGGTGGGGCTCAGGCTAAGAGGACTCACCTGACCGGCAGAAAGTTGTCGTTGCAGGAAAGAGCCACTTACCAGTCGTCAGGCTCTGGAGGAGGTTCCACACACATCTCCCCCTGTGTGGCTCGCAGGCCCACAGTGGAGTCTACACGTGTGTCTTTTTCAGACTCTCAGGTGAGGAAGTCATTTTTATTCATATTTTATTATCAGTAATAATCACTAAATTGTTTGAATGCTTGTTTAAATAACTGCATGAAAATGATAGATTTTCCATTTACTGTGAGAAAATCCAATCTTGCACCTTATTTTTTTCTTACATTTTTTTTTTTACAATTACAGTTGCCAGGTTTGGATTTGAAGACATTATTGTTAATGCATCGGTATCCCTGCTTCTGTAACTGTGACTGTGAGATGCACAGCCCTTATAACACTGCACTGAAAGCAGATGTGTACCATAATGATAAGTGAGAGTACCGTACTCTACTGTTGCCACTGAGAACAACACTTAACTGTTTTATCAAGAAGACAAAAATGCATTTTAGCCAGCACCATAGCTATGCAATAAAAGAAGTGAAGGGTGGGAGCAGCTGAGAACTTGCCATGATAATCACAGCCTTATCTTTTGATTTCTAACATTTCAAGGAGGCAGGAGTGAGCTGACAAACACTGTTGGGCAGGTTCCACGGGGGGACTGGGCCTGGTGATGTGGCCAAACAGACACAGCTTTCTAGCTCTGATTATTGCTAAATTTAGATGTGCAGCGTCGAAGGCAGCGTCGAAGGCATCCATACAGCTTTCCAGGTCTGAGGACTTTGTGTCCAGCCTCAATGTTATAGATCAGCTCAAGTGTCTATCCCTTCACACATGGTTGAGACTTGCTGAGGTGGTAGTGGCGTGACCAGTCCAGCACCTCACATTGCTTTTACAGTTAGATGTGATGTAACTTCCATCCATCCATCCATCCATTTTCCTCCACTTATCCGGAACCGGGCCGCAGGGGCAGCATTCTAAGCAAAGATGCCCAGACTTCCCTCTCTCCAGACACTCCCTC